AGATCAAACTTTTCTCTTGGTTGGAAGCACTGGCCTTATTGATGTTCATATCCAGGAAAGAAACATACTCAAGCACTGATTGCTTGAGAATGTTCATGTTTTCCTCTAAGAAAGCAGCAAATGAAACATAAGGACAACTGGACGAAGAAGAACGAGAAACTTCATTTGCCCTTACTTGTTCACAAGAGGCAAATAAATCCTGAATTGAGCACAAAATGGCATCAGCACCCTGTAAAGAAAAATGCAAGTATTTAGTATCCTCATTACAGTGAATGAAATAAAGATGAAAGGTAAAACAAAGGCTATCTCATCAGCAGCTTTTAGAAGTTAGGGCACATCACTAGTTGACCCAGCCACTTGTGGAGACTTCCCTTTGTTTGGACGAGCAGGCTCTGCCACAACGGAAAGGTCCATAGGAACCTCTACAAAATTCAAGTAGCAATGAGTAGAAGGCCAATAGCATAGTTAAGAGAAAAGACCATAAGATATGTATTACCTTCCGGTTCAACAAGTGGAGGGTCAACGCCTGGGGAAGGCGGCAACTCTCCAGTAGGCTGTGCAGGTGAAGACTCTAGGACTATGGCTTTTTCTTTAGGCAAAGCCCCTGCATCAGACAACTTGGATAAAGTAGTTTCAACAGAAGGCGATAGAGCAGAAGATGCTAAAATCAAAGCCTTCGAAGGAGAAGTTGAGCTCTTCTGGAAAAATTTAGGTAAAGCATTAACCTATGAAGGATTGTTTTTATGAATTAACAAGCTCAATTACCTTTCTTCTGACGATGAGAGAAGCATCATCATCATCACCATGCAAAATTGGTGAAGCTGAAGCTGGCCTTTTGCGGCTGGAAGTACCTTTGGTTGTACCAGCTTGAGCAGGAGAGGAAGTAGATGAAGGAGCAATATGTTTAGCATGAGCAGGCGAAGTGGGATTCCTGATAGAGATAGGAGTGGCAAGAATATGAGAAGTGAAAGAAGTTGTTGGCCATTCTAGCAACTGGAAGGCACAGTTAGCGTCAAAAGCGAATAGCCTACGCTTTATAGATGGCCAAAATTGTTCAAAAAGGATGACGGGCAGAAGTAGAGTTGAAAGGGGCTAATGAGAAGCCAGTTGCCAAAATAGTATTACAGGCATCAATAACCTGTGTCTTTGTTTTATTAATGGTATGGAAACGATCAATCAAGCTTTTGGAAAAGCAAGGAGGAACAAGCCACGTCTGACCAAAACCAACTTGACGAGCAAAAAATAAGATAGCATATATCTTGACCCCAGCCTTGGCATTTGTTCCAGTTAAGATATCATGGAACGGTTCTCTCCCAATCAAGAATTGAGCCCAAATAGGCAAGAATGTGCTCACTTCATTCGTGGTGGAAGGAGGTCACACATAAATAAGAATTTGGTGACCAGAAAAAGGAAAAAAGGAAGGGGTTGGATCCAATTTATAAAAGAATGAAAAAACGTCCTTACTAGACATAGTTACAGGGATCAATTGGTTGATGGCCAGCCCATAACAACTAACTGATCGAGGAGGAAATGGTAGATCACCAATCTGGGAAAAGTATGCTCTCAACCACAATTGAGCGAGCCTCAATTGAAATTAGAGAGAAGCCATGCCTCTATAAAAGCTGGCTAAAAATAATGAACAGAGATTCAAAATCCTACCACGCACTAATTCATGTGCTGTGGGTAGATAACTCATAGAAGGTTTCATACTAGGCACACAAAGGACGTATTTACAATGCCAAACCTGAAGAAAAGCCACACGCTTAGCATGAGAAGGTTCAGTGCTAGAATTATTATAAAGTCCTTGCATACCCGAATAGGACTCAGTAAGTTTTTAGTCAAATTTTGGGGCAGTGTCGGTAACCAAAATGCCAGGAAAAATAGTATCTCCGAAGGGCGGAAGGTTTACTAGGGCTCCAACGTCCCTCAGGGTAATAGACATTGGGCAAAGGGAAAAACAAAAGTCATGTACTTAGACGACCAAAAACTCAGTTCAATAAGAAAAAGCACCGAGTCATAAATTGGGGGATGGAGAGCGAATTCTAATAGCTTAGAAATCCTAGTATGATCAAAAATCGCCTTGGTAGGGCCATGATTTACCATACGTACATGCCACATACGAAAAGTGGTGTCAGTTTTAGGCCAGGTACGAATACCTTTCTTGTGAATCGACTTCAGCGGTAGAGAGTTTAGAAAAGGAGGGTCTTGAGTACAAGGGAATAGATGACCCACCGCCATTTGTCCGACAGATTCAGCATCATTAAACGATGGACCTAGGTGAAATTCATGGAGGTCAGAGTTGGCTAGTGAAAGAAAAGTTGAATTTATGTACGGCTTGGTAAGGAGGTTTTGGAAGTCCTCAAAGCTAAGGGAGTTGTCAGAAGGGCTTTGTGGAGTAGCCATTTGCTGCAAAGTACAATCTTCGTAAGGGATTGTGAGAAGTGTAGCAGGGAAGCAAGAAGATGAATAGTGATTTCTATAGAGAAAGATAAGCACGCGATGCAAAGACGTGGATATAATAGCGCAATGAAGTGGCGTAAATTTTAGTTTATAGGGGTTACGTTGTGTTACACTATTCAGGATACAGAGGGTTACCGCCAAATGAAAATAATGATTGGGATTATCCGCATTTTTCGAGAATGCAAGCATTGCCAGAAAATACAAAGGAATAATATGGCATAAGATTAATACTTG